ATGACAACCTCAGCTGGAGCAACAACACCACCAGCCTGATCAAGAAAGCTCATCAGAGACTCTACTTCCTCAGACGGCTGAGGCGAGCTGGTCTGGGAAGCTCAGTCCTCACCTCCTTCTACAGGTGTGCAGTGGAGAGCATCCTGTGCTCCAGCATCAACGTGTGGCATGGAGGCTGCACAGCTGCAGAAAGAAAAGCTTTGCAGAGAGTGGTGAAGGCTGCACAGAAGTCTGTTGGAATCAGCCTCCCCACCATCACAGACATCTACACCTCTAGATGCAGGAAGAGGGCCACCTGCATCATGAATGACCCCACTCACCCAGCACACACACTTTTTGCCCCACTCCCCTCAGGAAGGAGGTTAAGGAGCAATAAGTGTAGAACCACTAGACTGAGGAACAGCTTCTACCCTGAGGCTGTTAGACTCATGAATCTCTAACTAGAATAATCACTGTGAAAAAACATATCATGTTGCTGCTGATCTGTTTCATGTTGCTGCTGATCTGTTTCAATATTGATGTGTTCATGCATGCACATCCGCTCACAGACTCATGCTCATGTTTGTGCTGATGTTCAATGTTTTATGTTATGAGTGCTTAGTGTATATTTAGTTGATGTTTTTCTTAGTTCGTATCTTAGATGTTATTACTGTTTTTCTTATACATTTTATTGTTGGATGTAACTGGGACCTTGTGTACATCATTTCTCTCCACCACATGTACCACATGAGGTGCGAATGACAATAAAGAATCTCTGACTCTGACTTTTCCTGGAATATTTGCTATATCTATCTATGGTGGTATTGCGTATAACTGGGCTGACTATATGTTTTCACTTATAGATGTACATCCTTTTGATCATTGTACTATACATGAACAAACATACACATCAGTAAATGACTGCCTGCCTTTATGGTTGCATGTGTACAATATGACGTTTTTTAAGTCTTTTTTGTTTATTAATACAATAATTAGCTTTTATACCCATTTGAGTTGCAGTAGTTTCCCTAATTTTCTTGAAGACCAATAATGTGACTTTTCTGAAATAAACAAGTACATTGTTGTGACTATAATTTGACTCTAACATATTTTCTGCTGTCGACTTTATTATTATTTAATTTTTTTTTACCTATTTTTACATTTTGTATCTATAAATATTAAATAATGCTTTTAATTGGGCTGTGAAAATTAGTTTTTTTAGGGAAAAGAAAAGCACAATGCTTTATATTTTTTTATTTTTTTGGTTGCACAGTGGTTATTGTTATGTATTTAAAAAATTATTTTCATTACAAGTGTTTTAATGGTTTCTAGCAGCATCTATAAAAATGAAGCTGTCAGGGTCCAAATGTCTCCCCAAAGGCAACACAAAAGGTATCTCAGCATTAAATTTTGTACAGTAAACTGATTTTTCATTGGCTTACAAACACCCACAATTTAATAACTCTATTTATGGATCAGTATATAAAGCAACAGCTTTATAAAGCATAAGTGTAGTGATATCAATGCAGGCAGGGCTCTGTAATTGGGCTCTGTGGGCTGGACTATTTGTTTATGGTCTTCCATTAAATTCACATGTTTTACACCCTGGGCAAATTATATGGAGCCAGTTCAACACTTGATGTTCAGGCTGTGGAGCGATTGGTCCATTTAATTGGGAAACTGTACTTTAGTTCCAGTGTCTATAGAGCAGACTATGCAATGTGTTGTACGCGCAAAACTACTGGGACCTCAAGAAACTGGACAGAAAGTTTAAAAGCTAAACTGCATTTTGAGCCTTGATGAAATGACTGTCATAATCCTTGTACATCC